GGGCAATGGGGGTAGGTAGACAATAAGGTTGACTCAGGATAGAGCAGGGTTCAGAACCATTGTACACAGTGTCACTTACAAGTTGCAAGCAACTCTGAGAACACATAACAACAACAGGACAGAATGAGTTTATGTAAGAATTTTTACTTTCAAAATAAGCAAAATTAGAAAACATGGGAAAGTTTGAACAAGATCTGCCATATTTCGTTTACATTAATGTTATATTGTTGTGAGGTGCCATCCAATCAAGTAAGATCATAGCAACCATATGAACAGCAGATCTGAACCTTGCCTTATTCTCACAAACTGTGATATCCTCTAACCCATTGATAGAGCCATTGTCAATCCATCTTGTTGAGGATCTTCCTCTTTTTCTCTGATCTTCCATCTTTCCCAGTATAATGGGGTGGGGTTTTTTCTCCCACAAACTAGCCCTTCCTGGCACCATGTTCAAAGTATGTGAGACTGAGTTTCACCATCCTTGCCTCTAAGGAGCACCTTGATTGCACTTTCTCCAAGACAGACTTTTTTATCCTTTAGGTATTCCATGGGATGTTCCGTATCCTTCTCTAAAACCGTAATTCAAAAACATCAGTTCTTCTTTGGTCATCCTTATTCATTGTCCAACTTTCATATGTATGTTATTAGTGTTAGGCACCATTGAGTCAAGTACAACCTATAGTGACCCTAGGCTCTGAGCCTTGTCCTGTCCTCTACCCATCCTCATCATCTCTGACATACTTCAGCCCATTATGGCAGTCACTGAGTCAATACAAATGGTTGAGGGTCTTCCTATCTTTCATCGACCCCTCACCTTTCTAAGAATCTATAATGTCCCTCTCCAAAGAAAAGCCTGTCCTCGCAACATGCCCAAAGTATGTGAGACGAAGCTTTTTCATTCTTGCCTCCAAAGAGCACTCTAGCTCCAGTTTCTCCAAGACCTATCTGTTTGTTCTTTTGGCAATCCACGGTATACTCTTCTCCAACACCATAGCTCAATGGCATCAATTCATCTTCTGTCATTCTTACTCACTGTCCAGTTCTCAGATGCTTAGAAAGTGATCAGAAAGACCATAGCCTAAATCAGATGCTTCTCAGACCTCAAACTGACATCATTGTTCCTCAGTAATTTGGAGATGTCTATGATGACATGACTATGGACTTTCTTAGTGCAATACAGCTCTTGATTTCCCAACTGCTGACCAAGGGTATTGTAGACTCAAGTAAAATGAAATCATCGACAACTTCAATGATTTCTCCATCTATCATGATATTGTCTATTGTCTAGTGGTAAAAATTTTGTTTTCTTGACATGGAGATGCAATCCATATTGAAGGCCATATTCTCTGATCTTTTGCAACAAGTGTTTCAAGTCCTTGACTTCAGCAAGCAAAATTGTGCCATCTGCATAACACAGGTTATTGATAAGTCTTCCTCTAATCTTGATGCCACATTCTTCTTCAAAGATTCCATCTTTTCGAAAAATTTGTTCAGCATATATATTGAATAAGTACAGAGAGAGAATACAACCCTGACACACTTCTTTCTTAATTTTAAACCATGTTAAAAATCCCCTAAGAAACTTGTTACTATTTTATTCTAAATATTAAGATTTTCACCAAATTTACCATTTTCTTTTCTCATAGATCATTCCTTTTTGTATGTCAGAGCTTTTCTGTATCTATGTTCATAAGAGATACTGGTCTGGAGTTTTCTGTTAAGGTATTTGTCTAGTTTTGGTATCAGGCTAATAGTGGCATCATAGAATGAGTATTCCTACTGCTTTTATAGCTTTGGAACAGTTTCTAAATATTGGCTTTAATTGTTCTTAAATGTTTAGTAGAGTTAACCAGTGAAGTCCTTTGGAGCTAAGCTTCTCTCTGTGAGTAGTTTTGGGGTTTTCTGGTTGGTTTCTTTCTCATTACCAACCCTGTAATTTCTTTTCTTTTGAATATTTAGAAGCCCTGCAATGCTTGCACAGTGGCACATGGTAGGGATTATGTGGAAGAGTCAGGAAGATTTTCAAAAGGGTTATAATCACTTTTGGAGATTAAGAGAAAAACACAGAGTTGGAGTGGGGCTTTGCTAGTTACAGAGTGTCCATCACTTAAGTCACTGGCACCTCAGTTTCTTCTTTGGGCCACAAAGAGAAATTTCAATGCTGTGGAATGTTTGGTATCTCTGAACCCTTCTAGATGGAAACACCTACAATGCTCTCTCATCGCCCCACCTCACCCTCACTCAGCTCAAAACAGCTGCCTAATGTGTCTTCTCAGCTGTCCTCCTGGCTGGTGTACTGACAGATGGGCTGCCTGCTTTTCAGAGTGAATGGACACAGAGCTGCATGGTGACTATCAGAAGTCCTAGGCGTCTTTGTCTTTGTGAGCCCCTTCTGACATTAAAAAAAAGAGGGGGAAGTTCTATTTTACAGTTGTCTTGACATAAAAATGAATAGATTAACATTTTCTTTTATCAAAATGTTCAGTTTTTACCCTGATTTTTAAAAATTAATTCAAGTCTTTTCATGAGCTGCCAGAAGTTGCAGGGGTCCCAGGCACCGTACCTCGTTACCCGGTGGGGAAGCCAGCCCTGCATGAATGAATGAATAAATTAAAGCTTCCATTTCTGGAGAGGTTTCCTGAGAGAACTCTCTGACGTCAGAGAAATGTACAAATGGTATTTCCCACATATTATACCGTTGTTAACCAGATGCAGAATTAAAATCAGGACATGAGGAAATGAATTCTGAAAAAGAGGAATGCCAGGGAGAGGTCCTCCACAGCTTAGGACTGTGAAAGGCGTCTTCCTTAGCTTTCTCATGGTTTTTATTTCGTTTAAACCAACAATTAAAAAAAAATTCCATCTCATGAGGCTATATTTTCCTTATACCTAAGTGTTGTCAACATAACAATGGGTAAGCTTAATTCTTAAACCAAGAGTAGTATGATGCCAAAGTTCAGGAAGAGTATCCCCTTTGGAGAGAGGCTGGGTGGAAATCTCTGTTTGTAGAAGGCGCCCAGTGAGCCTGGACTCTGAACTCAGCTGGAGCCCAGCTATCACCATGCCAGGCTATCCACATTATACCAAGTCTGTTGTCCATCTTTTGCTTCCAAATAAATGGGTGATGCTTCCTGCATTCTGCCATCTCTCCTTTGAAATAAAAGTACTTCTAACTCCAGGATTGCTCTGATGGGTGTTCTGTGCAAATTAAGAAAAGACTTCTCCACTAGTACAAGGTATAAAGAGACTGCTAAATACAATCAGAAACGCACAACCTGAAGAGGATAAAATTGATGCATGGGACCTTCTAAATATTAAATCCATGTGTGCATCAAAAACTTTTTTCCAAGGGTGAAAAGAAAACCTATAGACTGAGCACAAACATTTGGTAATACCATCTCAGACAAGAGTCTTATAACAAAAGTTTACAGAATACTCCTGGGCCTCCACGAGAAGAAGACTAATAACCCAATTACAAATTGGCAAAAGACATGGAAAGAATCTTCACAGAGGAAGATATTCAAATGGCAAACAGACACATGAAGAAATGTTCCAAATTATTGGCAATAAGAGAAATGCAAATCAAAACCACAATGAGGTACAATCTCACTCCAGTAACAGTGGCAAAGTTTAACAGGGCAGCAAGAAATAAATGTTAGAGAGAATGTGGCAAGAAAGGAACTCTTATACATTGTTGGTGGGATTGTGCAATGGTACAACCACTCTGGAAGGCAGTTTGGCACTCCTCAAAAAGCTGAACCTAGAAATTTCATATGAGGCAGCGATTCCACTACTTGGAATATACCCTGAGAATATGAGAACTGAGGCACAAACTGAGATTTGTACACCAATGTTCATAGCAGCATTATTCACCATCGCAAGAACATGGAAACAGCACAAATGTTCAACCACAAACAAATGGATTGAGAAATTATGGTAAATTCACACAATGAAATACTATGTAGCATGCAAGAGCAATGATTTTGTAAATTATCACCTAACTTGGGAGGACTGAAGAACATTATGATGAGTGAACTAACTTAGTTCCACAAGGATAAATATTGAATAAAACCGTCATTGTAGAATGAATATAAGGATCCAGGAGGGGTGGGAGAGGCTGGAAGCAGAGGGATGAGGAAGTGCAGGGGGAGGAGGGATTAATCATTGGGTTGTAAAATTTGATGGGGGAGGTGAGGGAAATTGAAAGAATTTGTTCTTGAAAACAATGTATTCAGATTTTGTAAATAAACTAGTAGATTTTTTTAAAAAAAAAATTTTAAAAAGGCTTCTCATCCTGAATAAAGGGGGAAAACTTTTCTCATAATCTTATAATTACAATCTAAACAAGTATTCATGTCTACAGTGATCCTCAGAAACGTAAGACCTCCATTGAATATCCTTCCCAAACTTATATGAGGACTGGCTGACAGCATGCTATGGCTGGTCAGAAGGGTAGAACTACTCCAGTTTAAATGCCACTTCAGTGCAGTTCTATGAGCCAGGCCTTATTCAAAGTCTGTGGTGAGCACTCAAGTCCAATGAGGTCTTAAACAAAGTTACTAGCCCCTTAAAAGTAGTGAAAAGCCAAAGTCATGACCTGAAGACCCAGAACAGAAGGTGGGCAAGACACAAACATGCATTTCTGTGCACCAGTGTGTGTGTGCGTGTGCATGTATGTGTGTGCAGATATGCATGGGTTTCCGTGTGTGCGTGCATGGCCTCATGTACAAGTATAAGTGTACAACCCTCGTGGGTTGATGTGCACCGGGATGCTTATCACTGCTCCCAGGATTCCACTGAGAAGCTGGAATCTCCATGCTACCCACAAGCACATCAGCCTATGTCTGCCATATGAATGACACTTCCTTAGACACGGCACTCTTAACTGAGATCACTCTTCAAACAACTGCATGCAGCAGCCTTGACCCACTCACGGAGTCTCCTAAGCCAGGGAAAGTCCACATTCTCACACACTAATACCTCCCTTTTCCTCCCCACAGGGATGACGTGCCAAGCCCGAAGCTCCTACATCACCAGTGAGATCCTGTGGGGTTACCGCTTCACTCCTGTGCTGACCCTGGAGGATGGGTTCTATGAAGTCGACTACAACAGCTTCCACGAGACCTACGAGACCAGCACCCCCTCCCTCAGTGCCAAAGAGCTGGCGGAGCTGGCCAGCAGGGCAGAGCTGCCCCTGAGTTGGTCTGTATCCAGCAAACTCAACCAACACGCAGAACTGGAGACGGAGGAGGAAGAAAAGAACCCCGAGGAGCAGACAGAGAGGAATGGTGATGTGGCAAACCTAGAAAATGAATCCAAAGTTTAATCCCTGAGCTGGGAGGCCCCTTCTCCTCTCCCCAACACAACCTTTCTTCATCTCTCATCTCTCTCTTTCTGTCTCTCTCACTTTGTTCTTTTATTTATATTTCATTTGATATTACGAGAACGCAAGGCTTCAAGGTGTAAAATATCTACCTGCCCTCTCTCAATTATTCAGATGAACAAGGTAGGCACGGATTTGGTCCAGGTGCAATGAGGCCTCGTGTGGCCCAGGCTGGGTCTCCTCCCAGAATAGCCCACATCCAGCTCCTACAGAGATAAGTCAGTTAGCATGTGTTCTCCAGTGCCAGAGCATTCCAGAGGGTGGCAAAGATATTACCTGGGATAAGACAAGAAAGGTCTTCAGTGCCTAATTATCCACGCAGTGAGACATAATGTTTCCCAGAGTCCTGTCAATTTCATCTACAGGGTGAGGTGCTTGCCACACACAGGCATAGCGGTCACAGGGCCCAGGCGAGTTTAAGACAAAACACTGTACATAGATCTGCCTTATGTAATTATATTTTTTTCGCATTTAGTTATAAAACCAAGCATGTACAAAAGTACTGTAGAACAGAACTCTTAAATAATGTACATAGATGTATAATTAATGTAGGTTTAGATCTATATCTTTAGAAATAAGATTTATTTAAAAAAAAATATCCCCAACCGTACTGTAGACATTTCTGTTCAGATGT